AAGAAAATAAAAAAATATTGGCTAGTGTAGGCTTTACGGCGAACTTTTTTTGTTTGTTTGTATGTAATGTGGTATGGTCTTATGTACCAACTACTTGGGCTGGTAAGTTGTGTGCATACATATTTTTTTATAATACTTTTTTTGTAACTACCTACGATCAATATTCATTATGCATCAAACAACTAATACGGCCAAGCATATATAAAAACTTATTTCCATACATACATAGTTACATATTTAGTAAATGCAAAATATAACATCTGCTTTAATCATTAATCATTTCATATGCAAACGCGTTTCATCAAAATGTGCCTTTTCAGTTATTGTTGTTGTTGTTATCAGCAGTTCAAAAATAAATATTCATTGCATCACGAAATCCCAAATATACTACATATACATAGATACATACTTATGTACATAAAAGAAAAACAAAAAGATTACAAAACTAAAACAATACAATGACTAATACAAATACATGCAAACAAGAGAATTGATAGTCTAGTAGTTATGAGAAAAATGCACTCCCGCGCATGCTTACAAAAACGTTTTATCAGTGCATATATGTATATGTATACGCAGACAAATGTATCTGAAACGGATGAATATACTAAGCATCGCAAACGGCAAGCGTAAATATGTATGCTAAGAATAATGCAATAAACTTGAAAAAAATTAAAAATAATGAAATTGAAGTACGTAAACAGTGTAAGCTGTCACATCTTTTTGGTTATTAAATTACCCCTTTAAAAATTGTTCCTATCCATATTATGTAAGTATGTAGAAAAAGAAGTGAATAAAAAATATAACTACATAACCAGATAAACCAGGCAGATGTGAACACCCACAGTGTTTCAATGATGTTATATGGCAGATATTAAAATCTGCCTGGTTATCGGATTATCTGGTTATTTGAGTACATATACTTTTTACTAAATTTTCAACAACAAAAAAACACTGCAGAAAAATAATACCGTGCGGCGGTCAAAAAAAAAATCATGAATGCAGTATGGCAACTCTGAAAGAGGAAGAATAGTAGTCCACTTTCCGCTTTGTCCCAAATATCACAATATTTTTACAGTGCACTTTCAGGGAAGTGAAGAGATGGTAGTATGAAGGCACCAGATCAGGGTGATACGGGGGTGGTTCAAAACGTCTCATCCAAACGTGTTCAAGAGTTGTTTCGGGGCATTGGACGTATGGGCTCTGGAATTGTCGTGCAGCAGACAGACCCCTTTGTCAGGATGACCACCCCCAATTACCTTAAAAAGTTTTAACAATATTCAAAATCCCAACTGGAGTGTTTGCCTTCACAACGAGGTAGAGCATGGCAATGCACCATTTCGCACTTGGTAGACACGTGATCTCTCAACTAACGAAACGTTGTGTTCTACTAAGTGTTGACTCTGAAACCAGTAAGAAATTGACAAAAAAAAAATATAGAAAAAAATTAATAAAAAATTCTATTAAAGCGAAACTTGCATAAATTTATTTAAAATAGTTCTATTTATAAATGTAATCCCTTTTACCCACCTCAGCAAGCAGAATGCACTATTGTTTAACGGATTTATTGAACTGAATTTTTCTTGAAAATCTAAATGATTATAATAAAACTAGTGAGCTAACAGGAAATGTCCTAAATACATACATACATATGTAACAAAATAATTGAGAGTAATGTACGTTAAATGTAGCGGCGGCGGTGGCCAAGCCATAAGCTAAAAATTTGTTAAATGTACAATACATTTTTAAATTAAAACGAGTAGAGCGAAACTTATGAAAACTATAAATAAATATTTAATAATAGTTCTTGTATACACGGCAAAAAATTAAAAACCAAAAATCCAACACTTTATAAGTAAATTTAGTACATTATCTTTTGTTAACACACTTAGAAAAAGAAAAGAAAACAAAATGTACTTGAAACTGAGAAAAAAAGCAGATATTCAATCGAAAGCAAAAGGGTACATATTTATTTAAAATTTAGATAACAATAAAACCTGAGAGATTATATTCACATACGAAATGCGATCTTATTGTAATAAATATCATTGATAAAAAAATTTATAATAAAAACGAAACTATTTAATTAAGCGATTGATTATGAAAAATGAAATACATACTATGTTCATTTAAAATACAAATTAAAAAGAAAAGTCATTAACACAATAGCACGTAAAATGTAATTGTTCATTCGATATAATAAAAAGAAAAATCTACATATATCTGAAAATTTAAACCAAAGAAATCACTTAATTTGTGGCTAAGATAGTAAAAAGTCTTTCGTAAGACAAATGGCAAGATTGTTCGAAAGACTTTTGTTATTCTAGCAGTCTTAGAAAAAAAGCTCTCTCATTCACCACTTGTGGTGAAAAGTTATTTTGAGGAAAGCACTTGCAACAGGATTTAGCTCGGGCGGTGGAATTCTCTATTTTTTTTTTTTTTCGTTGCTATATTTTATTGTTTCAAAAGGAAAAATACATGTATTTCTTCTATTTAATTTAATTTTCAGTAACTTATTTTTTCTTCTCTTAATTGGTTTTTTTTCTCTTCAGCTTAACTTTCCTCTAATTTTTTTATTTTATTGTTAAAAAAAATTAATTTAATTTTTCGAATTTTATTCTATTTATTTCTTCTTTTTTTATTTAATTTGTTTTTCGTTTGTTAACTTCATTTTCTTATAGTTTTGGTCTTAATTTGATTGCTTTAAAGGGAGAAATATATTTGTTTTATTTAATTTAATTTTTAGAAAATTTTTTTTTCTTTAACAATTCTTTGAGTTTAATTTTCTTTTTGTTCCTAGATTTAAAAAAAAAAGAAATAATTTAATTAATTACATCTAGTTTCTCAGAATTTTCTTTTCATTTTTTTAATTCAAGTTGTTTTTCTAAAGTTAATTAATTTTTTTTAGACTATTATATTCTACTTATTTAGAAGAAAATATGTTTGTTTTATTTCATTTAATTCTCAGGATCTAAATTTAGTAGTTTTTTATTTAATTTCCTGTGAATTGTTAGATTTTGATTTTAAAATAAAATATATTTTTTCAACATTTAATTTAGTTTTTAAGTATGTACTGCTATCTTCTTTTTTGATTATTTTTTTTTTTCGTTTTCTAATTTAATTTTTATATCTTATCATTTTAAAAAGAAAACAAAGTTTGTTATTTCATTTAATTTTTATATTTATTTTTGCTTTATTTTCATTTCCCATATTTTATTTTATTTTTTAATTTTATCATATAGTTACTAGTGTTTCTTGTTTAATATATGTATGTATATATTTTTTTATTTAATTTAATTTAAAAAAAGGTTATTGCTAACCTCCTCTTTAGTAGATCATTCAATTTTGGCTTTCAAAAGAAAGTAAGGAGCTTTTAAGATAGTTGCCAGATTTGACAATTGTCTTAAGAAAGACTTTTGTCTTTCGAGAGCCTGCGGTGAATTTGAGACAGTTGCCAGAATTGCCCTGTAAGGTATGTATTTCTTGCAACGCAGGTTCGAAAACAAAATATTTTCTTCGGTCGAACCTAGGAGTCGCATTTTTCTATTTTTAGTTGACATTGAACCCACTTTTTTTAAATAAGTGTGAAAAAAGTTCGTCACACAACCCTGCGTCTAAAATAGTTTTGCAAGGCAATTTCGAAAACCGTAAATACAGAGGATATGACGAAAAATTCAAGAAGACGACTTCTACGTTCGGCCAAAAAATTTTATTATTACTTTTTTTTTTAATTGCCTTGCAAAAATACTTTAGACTCAGGACGTAGGCTAATTTTTTTCTGGTATGGTGTAATAGACTCACTTAGGAGCGACTTTACAGTGGGGAGTAAGTTTTAGTCTGGAAATCTCCAATCACCTTTCGAGTGTGAGTTTATAACACCCCTATTGCGTGTTGAGTAGTAGCTCATCCGTCTAAAAACTAACAGTCGTAGAAGGATGTGCGACTTAAAATATTCACAGTCGCTTATTTGAACGAGAAATCGACATCCACAATACCATACGATTTAGCGCGCTAAGAGGCAGACTTAATCAAACGTCAGAAATAAATGCTTCCCTAGGAAATCTGGTGCCGCTAATGTTGAAGAACGAAGAGGCATGGAAAGAGGTACGCAGCATGGCTACCCAGGTGATGCAACGGTTGGGTACCAGTAAGCAGATGAGGCGCAGAAGCGAGCGACAGCAGCAATAAGGGAATAATACCAGCGCGATAGTCTCGATACTAGCAACGAGCCCAAAAAGCCCGGCCCATGAAGTGAGAGGTGACGGCACAAAACAGAGGCGGCGTTTTCATCACATCCCCTCCCCGTAAAGTAATGCCCTATGGTGGTTCTGCGGGGGTGGTAAGTAAACAGGCTTATCCTGGGCTCGAATCGTCACATACGATATCATCACGTAATTTTATTTCGTATGGTTTTTGATTCGTGAATGGATGTTACAATTCGAGCCCTAGTTCCGTTGCGCCACTTGATGGTAGTGCAACCACCATTCGACTTCTCCGGCTAGGGACTTCCCCTCGCAACATCCACAATCCCAATCTTTACATTTCCCACAAATTTCCGTGTAAGATCCAATTAGCAGCTCTTGGTGCCCTACACTGCCTCTTCAGTGGGTTTGGCCAGAATACGCAAGTTTTTGACATCAGTCAAGCACCATTCTTACATTTCTGGTGACATTTTTGTGTATGCTCTTGCCTACGCATTTCGTACATCGCATTGTGTTTTAGGACTCTGCAGGCGTGAAACAGCCCGTTAGACGAGGTTAATGACATCATGCGGATTCTCTAATTTCGATAGGGCTTAGTAAGCAACTATCCCAACAACAACAGCGTCCCCACGGCAGTCGGGTCTACGTAACCGGAACGACCCAGATTTATATCTGACCAAGGACTGTCACTACAGCAACACTCCCAAAAAACTCTTTGGGGAATTTGTATGCTGTTATAACAACAGCAGTCCAAAAGGTTGTAACGTTAATTTTTCCAATTTAAATCAAACTAGATCATTTTATGGGATTATTAAAAATATTTTTTTTTTTTTTTCATTTCATATATGTACATATATTTGAGTTTAGTTGGTTATCGTGTTCACCACCTGCCACGCGTTCGTCATGGCCATTTTAAAGTTTCAACTTAACGACTAATTGCTTCATAGGATGAGTGCTTATCTATAACTATTTTGTAGTCAACTTAGTAAAGAACGAATAGTATGTATGTATAATTAATAATTTATATAGATCTCAATAATACATTCTCGAATAATACATTTCAATGCGTACATGTGTTACACTTAAATATCGCTAAGGAATATTATCCACAAACCGAACAGGGGAATAGCAAACTAATTAACAAACTTCTAAAACTTTTAACTTAGAAATATTTTATTTAGTTTAGTTTGATGTAGTTCCTTTTCGTTACTTTTTACATTAAACGTAATATTTTTTTCTACAACCTGGAAGCCAACTCTACTTAAAACGAACTATGAATGTTTGCGTGTATTTGCGAAAATGAATACAAAACATGAGTTAATCCTTAAATACTTGAAACATCTGCCAATCTCTACCCTTGCAAATCAATATACTCCGAATTAGGTACCTGCAAAACGCAAATGTACAACAAAGAATGCAAAACAAAAGGAATCACAGAGTTCCTCAATTCAAGCAAATATGTACTTAAAATTATCGATACAGTTATGCATATATAAACCATTGAGTGTAGCTGCAGCGAAAATCACAATGCGAAAATCACAATGTTGGCTTACAAATTACAAGTATGTTATGGTATACTATTTTGTATGAGGAAAATTGTAAGTTATGTTACTAGATAACAAACAGCTTGCAATTTAGAAAAATAAATAAATCATTTTGAGTAAAGCGATTAAAGCACAAATTAATAGTTATTTCTAATTTTTTTTTTTTTAATTTGATTTGTAAAAATTTTTATATGAAGGAAAATAATTTCTAGACTCGTGTCTCTAAATGAGCATGTTCATAACTATATATATGTATAGAGATGTATGTGTATAAATACGTGCTAATATATGCATGCATGTGTGTATTAGGGTGTGTATGCTTCAAACTTATTTATCGCTGCTTAAACAAAATTAAATAATAAAGGTAAAAACAAAAAAAATAATAATAATAAGTTAGTGCTTACAATCTATTGGTGTTGGAGCTATAACTACCTAATATCTATTTAGTTTGGTCAGATCCGTACAAACTGCGAATAGTCTGGAACACCCGCTAACGAACTACAGACCTTAAATTCATTTTAAAGTTTTTAATCTTTATCCTGGCTCTGCATTAAGGCAGTAATCTCTTGAAACTTATGCATATAATCGACGCTGCTCTCGCTGATGACCGATAAATTCGACGAGGGGTCCTGAATGGAGTAAGGGGTTTATTTAAATGGTGAATTTTGAGCCAGTGATAGGTATTATTTTAACTTACCAAAATATCACGACTTGTATTGATTTCGTCCAAGTGGCCGAGCAGACTAGTTAAGGAGAAATCATTAAGATTGTCTTCAAGCCAACGGGAATTCGAAGTGGATTCTCGTAGCAAATGAGTGGGTGTCATACCGTTGAAAGAATTTGCATCTGTAGGAAAAGAAATAAATACGTTACTTTAACACCCAGTGATTAAGATTTTCTAATAAAATAATGTTTAATAAACAAAAAATAATAATTTTAAATGTTAAATACAAAATTATTTAATATTAAATCGAATTATAAATAAATTGAAATTATGGTAAGAAATTCCATAACTTACTTGTACATTCATCAAAGGCGCTGTCGGGAAATGAGGATGAAAGCGACATGTCTGCATTATCCAGTCCGGAAGATTCAAAAATGTGAGCAACATCAACGTTGTTTGCAGTGATATCAGTCATTTCATAAGCCGCGGAAGTTGAGGGGTTATTCTCCAGCAGCCCCGTCTCTTCCACATTACTAGTTGCATCGTCACCGTCATAGTGATTTGTAAATGTATTAAAAGGCGCGGAAGTACTAATTGGCGTCTGATTGTAATGTATTGTATGCGCTGCTGTGGTTTCCATGACTGCACTGGTCATATGCGAGTCATTTTGCTGGGTCGCATGAGATTCTTCGACCACGCTTTGTGTCGTGTCTGATACATTTTCAAACATTTTTCGAGGGTTTTCGAAATTTTTCACATTTAAAAGATCATAAGTCTGATTGCCAGTATTACCACCAGGTAGCAGCATACGTTGAACCAGCACTTGACGCATTGATTGTTTTTGGCGAGACATCTATGTCAAAAAGAAAGAAATATGTTTTTATGTAATTCTATTCTTCCTAACAAAAAAATCAATGCAGTTTTGGACTTACTGGATTCAACTGTTTCACAGTATCCATATTGAATAGCGGACGTCGTATAGGCACCACTGGCTGTCGAAAAACGGTATTGGTCTCGTTGGGGTTATTGGTGGAAAACGTTTTTGCGGAGACATAGGTCTTTGTAGCCAAATTGCGCTCCAGCTACATAAATAAATAATGATTTTGTTTAGAATATTTCATAAAATTTTTTTGATGCCCCACTTACTCTTGTTTTTGCTACATTACGATCACATATATGTCCACAGGAACACTGTCGTTTACGCATTCTTTCGCTCAAATTGGCAATCAACAGCAGATGCTTAAGTTTATTTGCAACGCCAGCGGAAGAAAGTGATTTAAGCAGTTCATGATCATCGCATTCATTTGGATTGTACGGCATACCACTTTGCTTTTGCATGAAAAGTTTTGTATCCGACTGCGTCATGGAATCAAGTACAGTCGCAGCGTTTGGACTACTGCTTCCAACTAGTGCCACGCTGCAGCCACCGGTGCCATTTATGGTGTTTGCATTATTCACAGCAGTACTTGTGCTAGCACCGTTCGCAATCGGTAGCGCTTGTTGCTGCCTATCTGTCCAGTAGTACTCCAGTTCGAGCTTAGAATCCTGCCCCAGAACCACATAAAGATCCCCGATGGTTATATCTGCCGCAGTTGAAACGGTCCAGCCCTTTCGTATGCGTCGTATAACTCCCTCACTGATGAGTGGCCTAAAATTGGGTGCACTGGTGCGTCCAGCACCGCGCGTATTAGCGTTTCGTCGCATACGCGTCTGATTGGCGGTAGTGTGTTGATTGTGATTGGAAGTGTGGGGATTTGAATTTGTCGTGTATACTGTGTCACTTGCAGTTAAGGTTGACTTTAAGTCCTCTTGCGAATTATCAGGCCCCTCCTTGATGTGCGCATTGTCATCCATTTCGGCATTCAACAACTCATGCAATTCATCACTCAACTCATCGCTGCTGCTTTCACCTTTATGTGGGCCCAACTCTTGATCTGGCGTTATGCCAATTTCTTCTTTAACCGCTGCATCACCAATATGTCCTTCACAATCAGCTTTCTCATATGGCGGACTACTTATTTGCTTATTTTTCTTCGAATCAGGCGATCGCTTTTCTGATCCGCTTTCCGTGCGTGGCCGTTTGTTAGCAGCTCTTTCCTGAAAAAGTGTTTCACCACGCACTTTAACACCCATACGTTCCTCATAAGCGGTAAGACAAATATTTCCACTACCAAGGTATTCCGTTATGCTCAATAATGGGCGATGTATAGCAACACCTGGTTTGGGTAAAAAACACATTTCAGGATCTTGGAAGGCGGGTATTTTCTCAGTGTTATCTGCTGACTGCACACCATTACACTCTGCTGAATGTGTAATGTTTGCTGCAGCACTAAGTAATGGAAATAATTTCAGTTCTTCTTCTGCCAGTTTTTGATCGGCGCTTTTCCATTTTAATTGAAAGGTTTTAATAAAATTGACAAGTTTCTTATGAAGTGGCACAGTGGTGCGAACACGAGGGTTTTGAGCGACAGTCTGAACGCGTCCGAATGCTTCCATGGTAGCAGGGCTGACAATCACTTCGATTTTTGATGGTAGACGAATATCCTCGAGGGAGTCTGTAATTAAGTAAAAAGTAAAAGTTAACTTTAGTACCACTTAAAACGCTACAAAAGTACATACAATAATGTATATACAATGTGCGCAAGGAATAAGATTGGCAATGTTGTAGTACATCATTCGCAACTTATGCTTGAGCGCATGATAAAAACATTCAGACTTATCCTAAGTTTCGCCCGAGAAAAAATTCACCCGAAAATTTCTCATCCGCCCATAGTAAATACACGGAAACAAAAAGTAATTAGTGAACCGGTTCGGGGAAAATGAAACTCATGATAAGGTTGATTATGTTTTTATCATGCTTGAGTGGATACATTGTATGTACATATATTTTACTGGCCATTTAACACTATCAGCAATTACTTAAGGAGACAATTTTCACCAAGTGTCATGGAATATTTCCTTGAAGTTTACGTTATAAATAAATTTCGCATTATAGTAAACGTAGATACATACACATAAAGTCAAAGTTTCTTACCGTCTAATTGGTTCAGCCTTCGCAGTGCCTTACATGATGGTGTTTTAATGCGCAAATTCTTACCCTTGTAACGCACAGTTATGTGACCTTGGTACACAAGATTTCGCAATTTCATAAATTGCTTATCGCTTACAAATTGAAGTTTTCGTCGCATTTCACCATAATTAATAAGCGCATACAACTCCTGGACAGGCTTCTTAACCTCTGAAATCACAACAAAATTAATCCAACAATTAGGTATACATGATTACATAAAAATTCTATTTCACAGGATGTACACTTACCATCAGAGAATTTTATGTACTTGCAAATCTTGTGATAGGTTTGATAGTAGTGTTGACGCACTTGGTCTTTCGTTTTAAAAGCCCCATCTGCAGAGCTTCTGCGTTTTAATTTTGTATTTATATAATTGCCTACAGCTTCGAAGTCCTTGCCAAACTCGTTTAGAGCATCGAAAAAATGATTACGCTCTAAATTTGTCCACGTCGGCTTATTACTACGCAATTGTGACGGAGTTTTGTGTATTGTTTTTTCATCGCGTTTCTGATGATCGCGTTCATTTGGTGGTGGTGATAAAGGTCGTGTCTGATCTTGTTTCATTTTTTGAATGACTCGTGCACTAGCACGCGTCCCTGGACAATTATGCATTATTACAGAACCCAGTAGCTCAGTCACCTTTGAATCCGTCTGCAAATCAATCATTAAATGCGAATTCGATTTGGCACAGTGGAATCGCATAGGTATACACATTTTGTAAAATATTACCTCATTACGCAGTTTCTCTTCGACGTTGGAGGATACTGCACACGTTGTTTTGCGTTCATTAACATTTTTTCCACCTCCAATAGCTTTAGCGCTGCTTATTGTAGCTGGTGCTACTCGTTCATTGATTCTAATTTGCGATTCACTGTGCTCCAGTGGCTCCACCGTCTCACCAATGTTTTCTTGTGCGGGCGGTACAGTTGTCGTCGTAATCGGAAGCGCCGTCTGATTTCCAACGCCGCCCAGCGCATTTGCGCTCATTTTTGATGAAACCTATAATAAGCAGAATAAGAAATTCAGCAAATTTTCCCGCACCTAAGGAACTTAAAGCATAGTTGATCGATTTATGGAAAAATTGTAGAAGAAGTTCATAGGAATTTTTCACGCCCGACAAAGAAAATTTAATTGCGCCCTTACTACTTCGTCACCAGGCTAAAATTCAAAGTAGTTCAACTCCGCTTAAAGGTCAGAGATCCTTAAAAACTTGGTAGCAAAATGTTGAGTATGTTTTAAATTTTTATTTTTCACTAAATTTAGGAATTTTTAACATCGATTCACTGCAAAATCGCGCGATGAAATTCCAGTAAAATCTGTTGCGAAAACACGAAGTTGACAACTGACAAAAAATGGCGCACGACTTTCGATTCGTTGATAGTCCCCATATTCAGTCTTTTTATTTATTTTCTGGCAATATTTTTGCAAAACTTTGTTCCAAATAATATGCAGCATAAATTTACCTATTCAACCGCCCAACCCCAGTGGTTTTTTTATACAAAATACATTAAGAAAATTACACTTTTCACATTGTTTTCGTTTATTTGTTTATGTCCAATGGATGTTAAATTTCAATTCCCCCTTTTATTTCTGTTTCGGCAGATTCGTTGTTGTTGTTAGCATGTTGAAGATTTTTGTTTACATTTTTATCTGTCAAAACATGATTCATGAAGGTCGGAGTTATGTACACAAACTTTTGTTCGGCGAACAGGATAAAAGAGAATAGCCGTTCGCGTTCGCACAATCCAACAAATCCAGTACTAATTTTACTTGTTTTTTTACTGGATGTCGTTTTCGTACGCAAAAACTTGCAAGAAACTAGCAAAAGAGGGGAAAAGGGAAATGTTTAGTAGCGCTCACATCGTTTTTGGGATGGGGGGCGGGGCCCCTCAAACTCCACTCACTAGAAAGAGGACAGTCACCGCTTTCTAAAAAGGCGAAGGCACCCCCTGGGCTCCTCCCACAGGCCCCTAGGCAACCCTTTGAATAAGGGGGAATCATGAATCATACGAATATCATGAATATTGAATCATGACTGAGCAGTTTGAAGTGGAATGTGACCCAACTAACAGAAACCGTGGGATTTTTTAATAAAAGAAATTATGCCAAATTAGATATCGGGCGATTTGATAAAGAATAAAAAAGTTAATTAAAAATAGAAAAAACAAGTTTTTATAAAAAAATGTTCTTTTTAACAAATGTATTTTTGCGTAGAATTCCTTTTTGCGTAGGCGGCCTTCGGCCGCACTTTGGGATTATAAACCTCAGGCAGTAGAATTCTCCTTTCTGTGTTGCCAAAGAAGGGGGGCTGAACACCGTTTACAGAGAACACCTTTCTGCGTAGGCGGCCTTCGGCCGCACTTAGTCCCCTTTCAGAAACGTCAAGTCTTGCTTTCACGTCTGCTTGTTCGTTGGAGAATGAGGTGGGAAGAGAGGGGAAGAGTACAGATACCTCCGTACCGTCAATTCGTTTCAAGTTTTCATGTCTCTTTTGATATTTTCGTTGCTTGCCATTTAAGAACCAAGGACTTGAATTCAATTAAAGTTGACGCATGTGGAAGCAAATAGAAAACACAAAAGAGAATGCGAAAAAAATTGCTTTCAAGACTTGACGTGTCTGAAAGGGGACTTAGGGATCATAACCCTCAGGCAGTAGAATTTTCCTTTCTGTTTTGCGAAGGAAAGGAGCTGAACACCTTTTCAGAGAACAACTTTGTATATTTTTAATGCTTACTGGGTTATATCCTATCTTCTTTTGTCTCTCATTCTTTTGCATATTTTGGAGTTTGACAACTGAACTCCGCCATTTAATTTGCATATGCAACCAAAGTCAGACGCGTGATTTTGAAGGTGTTTTTATTTAATGAATTGTGATTAATTGGTTAATATTAAAGTCGTAAAGCAAGTTATAACTAATCGAGTAAAGTGTAAAGTGAAGGGGAATACAAAAATGTAATGGTGAAGTGACTGCTTTAAAGAAAATAGGAGTGATAAATGTACGCTAATTTCCGAATTTTACAAAAAAGGGCATATTTCAAACCCAATTTGTAAATAAATTAGTGACAAAAATTCACAAAAGTGAGTGTTAAAATAATGCGTAGACCCTTGACTACAAGTGTGTGGAATTTTTTTTTGGATCGGACCACCCCTTTGGACGGAATAGCCCGAAATAGTTGTGAGCGCTACTAAACCCCACCCGGGAAAAATGCCAGCTGAGCTTGCAAGTTTTACTGGATTTTTACTGGGAAAATTTTTACTAGCAAAAACCTGCAACTTAAGCCACACACTTGCACACTCTTGCAACACAGGCCACGAAGTAGTTGAAACTTCTCACGAAGTAGTTGGCGCACAGGCCACGAAGTAGTTGACACTTCTCACGAAGTAGTTGGCGCACAGGCTACGAAGTAATTGACACTTCCCACGAAGTAGTTGGCGCACAGGCCAAGAAGTAGTTGACACTTTTCACGAAGTAGTTGGCGCACAGGCCACGAAGTAGTTGAAACTTCTCATGAAGTAGTTGGCGCACAGGCCACGAAGTAGTTGACACTTCTCAGGAAGTAGTTTACACTTCCCACGAAGTAGTTGGCGCACAGGCCACGAAGTAGTTGAAACTTCTCACGAAGTAGTTG